AGAGTGGTCACAATATGCGTTTTTATTGCAGTTTGACTACGTGCGAGAAAAGTCACATCTTTAAGGTATTGCAGTACGTTTGAGTAGCCATGTTGCAAACGGGCTCACACGTTGTGAATTAAGCCACGTCACTTTTCCGGCTTTCCACGTATGAAAAAATAACATCCCACGTAAGAGTCGATTAGGCCACGTCAGCAGGGGGAATCCAAGGTATGAAAATCCACGTCTTACGTGGAAATTAGCTTGTTTCGGATACGCTGGATTCCTTAAGAGTCGATTAGGCCACGTCAGCATGGGGAATCCAACGTATGAAAATCCACGTCTTACGTGGAAATTAGCTTGCTTCGGATAGTACCACGTCACGTCCAGTGCTCTCCACCTATGTACCGTCCACTGTTATGCGGAATTTTGTGAAATTGCCAAAGAGCGTCCTACTTTTGTCCGTTTCATCATTTTCATTTAGCCTGTATCGTTTTAGCGGTTGTCTGTTTCGGCGTTTGCTACTTTAGCCTGTTTCATTACTTTCATTCGGCTTGCATTGTTTGTTATTTTCGCCTGTTTCTTCCCTCCTACCTCCCTTCCTTTCCTACCCCTCCTCCCCACGACTGGGGCTGAATTTGATAGGTTTATGTGGTACTTACGCTAGAAGCATCCCTGAAAATTTCAGCTTCCTGGCTTTGCTAATTCCTGAGATAGCCATTTACCCGCCGAAAAACCTCACAGGGTCGTACGCGGGAACCACAGACGCCTAGAGGCTGAATTTAACAACTTTAAGTAGTAGGTGGATTGGCAACATTCCTTGAAAATTTCAGCTGCCCCTCTTTACTAATTCCCGAGTTAGCCATTTTCTAGCCAAAAAATTTCGTGGGGCCGTACGTGGGAACCGCGCAATCCTTAGAGGATGAATTTGAGGACTTTAAGTCGTACATAGGCTGTGGACGTTCCCTGAAAATTTCAGCTTCCCAGCTTTGCTAGTTCCCGAGTTAGCCATTTTCCCGCTGAAAAATCTCA